AGAACCGAACCTTGAGGCACTCCAAAATCCACACCAGATAAAGCAGAACAGCCTACGTCAGTCTTCACAAACTGCGACCTTTCTGAAAGATATGACTCAAACCAACGATGTTCTGATGCATTGCGGATGCCATAGTGATGAAGCTTTTGCAGCAGGATTCGATGATTAACACAGTCAAAAGCTTTAGAGAAATCGCAAAACACCGCGGCAGGAGCCTCGCCTTCATTCAGACTAAGATATATATTCTCGAGCAGTGAGAATATGGCATCGCTGGTGTTTTTGGATGCTTGAAAACCAAACTGGCTGGGTGTTATAAGGTTATTAGTCGTGAGGAAGTGCAGTAATCTTGATTTTACAAGCTTCTCGATAACCTTGGAGAGGGTGGTTAGGAGAGAAATAGGCCGATAGTTGGAGGGATCATCAGAATCACCCCCCTTATGTAAAGGAATTACAAGTGCTTTTTTCAGGCACAGAGGAAATACTCCTGTTCGGAAAGAATTGTTGATGGCATCAACAAGAGCAGAAAGTGCCTCCCAAGGCAAGCATTCCAATATCCTGACGGACACACCATCAAACCCAGCTGAATGCTTGTTCTTTATTTGGCCAAGGATATTGTGCAGCTCATAAATGTCAATACAAGTCAGACAGAAATCCTCGTGAACCCACACATCGCGGAGATAATCAAGAGGATCCACCCGATTAGATCGGTTAGATGTTAACTTATGTGCTATAGAGCAGAAAAATTGGTTCAACGTATCCGGCTCAATAGGTACCGTGAAATGCAGGGAGTTATTTTTCCCTCTCAAGTTATTAATTACCGACCACTGCTCCTTGAATTTGTTGCCCGCTCTCTCTATTCGTTGATTATAGTATTCTCTCTTAGCATGCCTAATTAATTGTCTATATGTACGTCTGTATCGGTTGAAGTAATTAACCAAAAATACATTATCCAGATGAAATTTTCGTATAGTGTGCAGGGATCTTAAATTTGTAGCAGAGATTTTTATACCTTTGCTAATCCAAGGTTTTGTTGTTTTTAACTTCATTTTTTTTAGAGGAAAACACTTATTAAAAACATGGCTCAATTTCACATGAAACGCTGTCAAGGGATCCCTAGATTGATGAGTGTCTTCCCAAGAGACTAACGCACACTGTTCATGAAAACCTCTGAAATTTCTCGAACTAAATATTCTACCCATTCTCGACCCCTCACCACGTACCACGTTGATGACCCAGACAGGGAATACGAGCCACTATCGCCTCATGATCAGAGAGTCCAGAAGGCAGCGTGACACAGTCCAAGTCAAGATCAAAATTGGTGCAGATATAATATGAGAGTCGCTGACTGCTGAGTAATGCGTGTGGAATTTTATTTTGATTACCATAATAGGCAAATAGGAAGATCGGACAAGATCTAAAAAAATACATACAAATACGTAGTTGTTTCAGAATGTCAACCAATGTAGTAAAACCAAGTATGCATGAAACAAAAGCCTGCGGAATCATAACCTGTGGTGCAAACAGCTTACGTCAACGCACGAAACGACATGCTGCCTACGTCACAACTGGTGATTTGGCTTGGTGGGGCTTCAGATTTGCTCTACACTGGCCTTAGAAGCCTAGTCCAGAACTACATACACTGCCCACAAACAAATAGAGAGATTAACCAAGTACCACTTTACGAGAAGTTCTGCGTTGACGTAAACGTAGATTTATATGTACGAACGAGATGCGTAAACTACCACAGTTTAAACCGTTTAAACACAAAAATACGTGAAAGGAAACGTATTTGTGCGGCTGTACAGAGTAGTGTTTGTTGCCATATTTATCTTTATTTGTTTATTTGTTTAATTAAAAATTAGGAAGAAATCGTACTAATTTTAGGTGCCTATTCGTTGTGATTAGGAAACTAGGAAATTAGGAATTGTGGTTTATGTTCGTATCGTTTTCGTTTGTATTTATTTATTTGTTCAGTAATTTTTTCCCCTTTCCTGTACAAACTAGCTCCCGATTCGTATTCGGCCAAATTCGGCCCGATACGGTTCACTTTTAGTCCGTAAGCAAAGATACGGCTTAAGCCAGGGACACATCTATCATGCAGTGTTCCGATCCGACTCCGATCATACAATCAAGGTCCTTATTCTTGGAACAGGGGAGCAGCGGAACACTCGTTCTCCTGGTAACGCTGCTTCCTGTTGTCCAAGAATAAGGACCCTCATTGTATGATCGGAGTCGGATCGGAAGGATGCATGATAGATGTGTCCCGGGCTTTACGGGCCACATGCGTACGTGAACGCGAATTTGATGTTTTTGCGCATGCTAAAGCCGGAGTCTCGAGTCTCATGCATCCGTTTTCCGACGAAAGATGTCCGAAAAATGTTCTATTTTGCAGTGGCGGACGGCGGTTCGCCCATATATGGGCTACAGTGGCTAAATAAACCTTTAAATACAGTGGCGACAATAGAGTTCCCGCCGCCATCTTGTTCCCAACCTCTTGTTACTTTCAAATATTAATATATAAAATTTAAATGGACATCTTTCATAAAAAATTGAAATCGACATATTTGATTACCATTATTAGGTTCATCAAATACGTTGTTTTCCATGTTTCATGATGGATGTTCACCTAAAACCTATTATTCATATTTAAAAGTAACAAGAGGTTGGGAACAAGATGGCGGCGTTTTCAATATAAATATATGGGATTTTAGAACCAATCAAAAATGAGACAGCAATTGTCGCCACTGTGGTAATAAAGTCACTGTAATATGGGCAAGCTGGGCACCGCCACCCTGGAGAAAGAATGGAAAAATAAAAAATGCTTTTAATACAATATTTGAAAAGGCCGCGACCTTGAAAATCTAAAAAAAAAAAATCGCCTATGGCTCTTTTTTATTTTTGTCGCCCACCCTTACTTGGACACCACGAGCCGCCACTGCTATTTTGACATATTTCCATACAATTATGTCAGAATAGAAGGTTTTTCGGACATCTTTTGTCGGAAAACGGATGCATGAGACTCCGGCTTTACGGTCGATCAAATCCTACGTTTAGACGTTTAGTTTACTCTAATGTTTGGAAAAATTTGCCCGTAAACAAAACATTTATATTATATACGTGTGTAGGTGTTTTGTTTCAAGGAACATCATGTCACCAAATAGTACCACCACTGATAAGATTGCTTAAAGCCATTTGCTTTGACGGCGTCCAGACTTGAGTATGAAATCAAAATTTCTCATCTTATCTATGTTTCTCATCCTGACGGAAAACAAAAAAACTTCAGCCATTTGTTCAAATGTTTTTAGTTTTTAAACCAATATGTTTGCAAACACATTTTAAATAGCTTTTAGGTATACAGTTTTTAAGGGGACAACATCGCTCCCATGCACACGATACAAAATACAGAAATCGGTTTTAAGCCAGGCGCAAACCAGAGCGGTGGCGGTCGCGGTGGCGGTAGCGGCAGTGGCGTAACTACAGGGGGGCCTGGGGGAGCCGGCCCCCCCCCCCAGTCGTCACTAGGCCCCCCCCCCCCCAGAAAAAACTTTCATAATTTGGTATTTTATGAAAGTTACGTTACCTATTATAATTTTATGTTATTATAGACTAAATCACGATAGAAAGTGAAGTTGAAAGTTCGCGTTGACATTTTTAGTAAACTTTTTCTTTAGGTTGTCAGCATGCGTTAGCGCTTCGATTCCGTCAGCTGGGATAAACGACAGGGTCGTATTTAGAAAAGTGATATACATTTCAGAATAAAAATTTATTTTCAATTTCTTTAAAGGAAGTTAAGTTATTAAAATCCAAAAATCCTAAAATTAGAGTCCAAAGTAAACACTTATAATAAGAGTAAACACTTAAATCCATACTAAAACCAGGTTTGAAAGGCAACACCGAAACACAAAGGCACAGAACACTACATAAAAAACCAAAAAACCGATTGCGAGAATAACAAATAAAAAAATAATGCAGTAAACGGCAAAAAACTGAAAGATTTCACACAAAAATTCGAAATTCAAAATTCAAAGACCTGAATCTGTTATTTTTATGTGTCGAATCAAAATGTCATGTATCATTATTTGACAGTTGTCAGAAAAAGGGACAGATCTGGGGATTTTATTTATTTTCAACTGGTGAAAATAACGGTAAAAATTTAAACTCTCTCGTGAATACGACCATAGACTTAAATACTACGAATAGACGTCCAGTGGAAATAGCAGCACAAAAAATGCCTCAATAAATCATAAGATGGCACCACTCGTATTAAAAATTCAAAGAAAACTGTGCTAGCACCCTTGTGTACGAGCAGCGTGTCATTGTTTCCAGGACAACCGCATTCCGACTTTTTTCTGATGTTTCGGTGTTGTCAAATTTATACGGACAAAAAACTAGACAAGAATTCTCTTTGCTATTTGCGACTTTCGAAGAAATAAATTATTGCTTGGATTTCAAAGAACTAATTTTCAAAATCCATTTAAAAAAAAAATCCATTTCAGCTTTCACTAGAAATAGAAAACTTAACAATTTACAAAATAAGTGAAATTTATTTATATTAAAAGAAAATCTTAACATTAACAATTTATTAATTTGCGTATAATATTTAGTATAAGATGCAGTAATAAAAAAAATTGGTGTCTTAATGTATGGTTTGGCCTATTTAATGATTTTGGACTAGTTATTTTAGAACTATTGGCAACAGGGTAACGCGCGAATTTGAATTATGACAGAAATGCGCGCCATCTCGTATCCAGCATATAAAATACCAAAGCCTGAATTGAATTTGGAGGCTCGCTTTCGATAGCGAGCCTCCAAATAGCGTCGCAGATTTTTACCATTTGACTGGACGTCTATTCGTAGTATTTAAGTCTATGATACGACCTAAATTTTAACGGTAATGCGCGGCGATCCCGATCGACCTTATCTGATCCTCCGATCCACCAACGAACAGGCTGTGTGCCATTGTACCACCCAAAGGCCAGTGCAAATTGCAATGTGCAGAAGTGATACAGTATACCAAAGCCTTTAAATTAGCATTAGCAATATAACAGATTAGTTTGGGAGTTTGACTAAATATTTTTCCCGTGAATCGGCGTTGCTGATATATACTATAAAGTGGCTGATAAGCTGGGTTAGCTAGGTAAGTGATTTAAGCACGATTTAGTCAGCTAATCATCTATAATTGCACTGTTCTACTTCTTTAAAGATTCCAATAAGTCGCAATAACAGGCCCTAGGCTACTGGCCCCAACTACATGGGAGCATTGGGGCAGGTGCTCCCATAAACAACCTTTCATGGGTACTCGGAGCTCTCGTAGGGAATGCGAAAGTACAAACGTATTTAATGGTCATTCCGTTCCAGATTAGGAAGGTATTAGGTATTCTGTCCTTTCGTTATTTGTGGTCAATTCTATGCTCTATTGCTTTATATTGCTAATGTTGCTATTCTCCATCTCTATTTTTTGATATTAATCGGAACATAAGGCATTTTAGGACATAAAAGAACCAGGCATAATTATTTTGATAATGATGTGATATTTTCATGGCCTAAAATGCGTGCAGAAAAAAGCACTTTTTGCACGCTCGTAGAAAAAAATATAAAAATATATACACTATCAAATAGACGTTTTTAGGCGTGGCATCCGGAAAAAAAAATTTGCCTCCGCCGGCGCCTACGGTGAACTTACCCCTCCCCTATAAATAAATTTATAAAAATATTATCCTGCACCTATGAGGACTTTCAAAAATCGACGCCTCTGTCAGGCCCACCCTAGGCCCCCCCAGGTCAGATGGCTAGTTAAGCCAGGCGCAAACCAGAGCGGTGGCGGTGGCGGGCGCGGTGGCGGTGGTGAACAAATACTGCACATGTGAATAAATCACCGCGTGCATACTGCAGCGAACTGGAAAACGCGCCCGCCGTTCTTGCAGCGTTCTACCGCGGCTCTGCGGCGGTCACATTGCGATCGGCGGTAGAACGCTGCCTGCATCATTTTTCCGCCTAGTTCGCGCGATCCGCATCAGTACAGCGAAGTGCAAACATGTCATGTGATACTAAAAAACTTATCGAAAATGCGCAAGAGAAAAAAAAGAAAGCAAGGCTTCTTCTTCCATGTCTTGGGCACTCATTGTGTAATTGCCAACTAAAGACAAAGCTAACGATAAAAATTACAGTCAAGTTAACTCACGTAGCACTTGGTAGAACAAAGATTAATAGAAATGAAAAAAAAAAAAACAGTTCAACAAAATATGCCAGTAGAGCAAACTGCAACCAATCTTGATCCAGAAGCAAAAATGAAAATACAGAAAGTACTAAAATTTGTCGCGGTAAAAACGCGTTGGTTTGCGGACATCTAGTTCGCTCTGTCATCGCCACCGCAACCGCGCCCGCCACCGCCACCGCTCTGGTTTGCGCCTGGCTTAATAAAAATGAAAAAAGAACAGAGAGCAGTTCATCAAAATATGCCAGTAGAGCAATCTTGATCCAGATGCGAAAATGAATATACTGAAAATACTAAAGCCAGGCGCAAACCAGAGCGGTGGCGGTGGCGGGCGCGGTTTCGGTAGCGGTGGCGGTGACGAAGCGAACTAATGTCCGCAAACCAAGTCGTTTTTTCCGCGACAAATATTAGTACTTTCAGTATATTAATTTTCGCTTCTGAATCAAGATTGGTTGCAGAGCTTGCTCTACTGGCATATTTTGATGAACTGCTCTCTGTTCTTTTTTCATTTTTATTAATCTTTGTTTTACCAGGTGCTACTTGACTGTCATTTTTATCTTTAATTTTGACTGTAAAAGTACGCAATGAGTGCCCAAGGCATGGAACAAAAAGCTTCGTTTTCTTTCTTTTTTTTTTCTCGCTCATTTTCGTTAAGTTTTTCAGTATCAGACGACATGTTTGCACTTCGCTGTATTGATGCAGATCGCGCGAACTAGGCGGAAAAATGATGCAGGCAGCGTTCTACCGCCGATCGCAATGTGACCGCCGCAGAGCCGCGGTAGAACGCTGCAAGAACGGCGGGCGCGTTTTCCAGTTCGCCGCAGTATGCAGCGTTGATTTATTTACATGTGCAGTATTCGTTCGCCACCGCGCCCGCCACCGCCACCGCTCCGGTTTGCGCCTGGCTTAATATTTGTCGCGGAAAAAACGCGTTGGTTTGCGGACATTAGTTCGCTTCGTCACCGCCACCGCCACCGCGCCCGCCACCGCCACCGCACCCGCCACCGCTCTGGTTTGCTTAGCCAGGCGCAACCCAGAGCGGTGGCGGTGGCGGTGGCGGGCGCGGTGGCGGTAGCGGTGACGAAGCGAACTAATGTCCGCAAACCAACGCGTTTTTTCCGCGACAAATATAAGTATTTTCAGTATATTCATTTTCGCTTCTGCATCAAGATTGCTCTACTGGCATATTTTGATGAACTACTCTCTGTTCTTTTTTCATTTTTATTAATCTTTGTTTTACCAGGTGCTACTTGACTGTAATTTTTATCTTCAATTTTGACTGTAAAAGTACGCAATGAGTGCCCAAGACATGGAAGAAAAAGCCTTGTTTTCTTTTTTTTTTCTCGCACATTTTCGTTAAGTTTTTCAGTATCCCACGACATGTTTGCACTTCGCTGTACTGATGCAGATCGCGCGAACTAGGCGGAAAAATGATGCAGGCAGCGTTCTACCGCCGATCGCAATGTGACCGCCGCAGAGCCGCGGTAGAACGCTGCAGAAACGGCGGGCGCGTTTTCCAGTTCGCCGCAGTATGCACGCGTTCATTTATTTACATGTGCAGTATTCGTTCGCCACCGCCACCGCGCCCGCCACCGCCACCGCTCCGGTTTGCGCCTGGCTACTACAAAATAAAAACCGCACATCAGAATTTGCTGAAATTTGGCATAAACATTCCTTGATCGATTATCTAGAGAATAGTGTAGTTAGATTTTCCATATTTCGAATTTTTTTTTGGCCTATATTGTGAAAATGAACTATTTCCCAAAAATAGAAAAATCCAGGGTAAAAATTGGAAAAATAAGAGCACTATTAGGGAATTGAAACCACGTGACATTCAAGATGGCGTGGCGGCGACACATGGGCCAAAAAACACAAAAAAATATCTAGTTTCTGTCCGAATTAATAGTTTAGGTACCTAGTCAACAAATATTTTATTAAATAATGAAAATCAAAGTTTTAAGCAAAACTGTATGCAAAATAATTTAAAATACGCATAAAAACATATTCAAAACGAACTTGCTTGGCCGCCACGCCACAATGAATTTTCCTTTTTGACAGATGGATTAATTGCCTAATTCTCTAGATAATCGATCAAAGAATGTTTATGCCAAATTTCAGCAAATTCTGATGTGCTGTTTTTTTTTTGTAGTCTAAGGGCCAAATTACAGTATATTTGCATCTGCAAATTTGCAGTTCTGCAAATATGGCCGACTTGCATATGTGCGCTATTTGCAGAAACGAGCAAATTACAGAAAAAATCTGCAATTTCGTCATGTTTATCGGAAGAAAGTGTTTGGACGCTACTGATTTGCCAGTTATCAATGTCAAAGTTGTCAAAGTGATACAAGGACTTGCGGAACCGTTTCACCATGCGCAAATTTGCAAATGCATTCTGCTTCTGTAATACGAAAAGTCAGACTTGCAGGTCCTGCATTTGTATCTTGGTGTTGCAGAGCTTCTGTAATTCCAGGCTAAAACCGATTTTGGAATAAAATTACAGGTATTTTGGCAAATGATTTAGGCTTTTTTTCGAAGATGGCGCCACCAGTCAATTCGTCCCCGAACCGTTGAAGCAGCATGTAGGTTGTTCAGCGTTTCCAAAAAAGCCTATTGACAACAGAACCTCTTTCTCACCTTATTTTTATTATTGGTTTATAAAATAATAGGCACAAAGCATGCTGTGCCATTAGTTTCCATTGAAAATAAATAAAGTATCTATTTTACGTACCTAGGTATACATAAAAAAATTGGATCGTGTTTTGTAGAACAAAATGTCTTTGAAAAAATAAAAAGCTTCAATAATAATTATTAAAATTTATTTACAAAAGGTGGAAAGTGCTAAAATTAGAGTTTTTCCTTTGTGTTCTTGCATATTAGTGCAATAATAATATCCACCAATGCAGAATGCAGTAGAGCATTCAATTTATAGGTATCTGGCGATTGGCATTTCTTTTACTAGCTCTTGGATCTTCTACCAATATCTGAAATTGCGTTAGACTCCTGGTAAGACTATTTTTTTATTATTCCTTCGAGTATTCCTCTATTTGTAAACCCATTCATGTGCCAATTGCTTCCTGAAAATCTCATAGGTACCTACCACAACTGATTTTCATCGAATAAATCATATGAAAACAGGGGTGTCTTTCTATGGACCGCTGTTTTATAACAAATTGCCCCTCCACACAAGGTCCTTACCAATTCAAGGCTTCAAAACAAAAATCAAAGAGTACCTTATTTCCAAAAGTTTTTATAGTATACATGAATATTTGTAATCTTTTTTTTTGACTTGTGTAAAACTTTTGTTATGGCATCAATAAATATTTTGTATTTGTATTTGTATTTGTAAAAACATACCTCAAAAACAAGCTCTACAACAAAACATCACTTTTACAGAGTAGAACAAAATTTGAAGTCATATCAGGCCAGTGGCATTATTCTTGACTTTACGTAGGTAGAAAATTTGACATTGTTAACAGTTAATGCACTGTTTAATTGTCAACACAGTCAAATTTTCTCTCGAGAGAAAGTCAAGAATAAGGCCTCAGGCATGGAAATACAAATCCCTCCATAATCCCATTAGCCAATCAGTGCGAACTGAGTGAAAAAAGTTGCACTGATTCTGCAAATTGAAATCGCTATAATATTAAAAATGCTCCACTGTAAAAATTGCTTTCATCTTGGCGCCATCTATAATTTTTTTTTAGAACTAAAATATAATTTGTAGGGGGGGCCGTTGAGGCCTTAAACAGTTTTTCACAAAACATCCCCCCTTAGAAATGTAAGTCTTATGAGAGACGTCAGTCTAGTCGTTTCAGCTTTCCCCTCCAATCACTAGAGGCGCTTCAATCAACCTATTAAAGTTTTCTTTTTCCTGCCGGACCGTGCGCCAAAATTTGAAGTTTATTTTGTCATTTCCAGTCGTCAAAATTTAAATTTTGAACTTCTCCCAACATTTAGAATTATCAATTACCTATCAATTATCAATAATTATTATCTCAAAATGTCTTCTCCCAGTTTGTTAATTGAAAAGCATCAGAAATGCTGTGTTCCGGGGTGCGGCGACAAATACAGCAGCTATTTCCGGTTTCCAAAAGATGCCGAAAAAATGAAACAATGGCTAGAAAAAGTTCGCAATCCTTTACTAAATAGCCTCAGTGTCGAGAAGGCTTATAATAATTATAGAGTGTGAACAAGACATTTTCGTCGAGAATTTATTGTTGGCGATCCAAAAGGCAGACGAGGACTCACATGGAATGCTGCGCTTTTGCTGTATCTCCCTGAAGGTAAGTTAATACTAGATATATGTGAGAAAGACGTACTTACATTTTCACTTACTCCTCCCCATAGTTCTGATTAACGACAACGTGTTAGAATTCAGGTTTAAAGGAGCATAGGTCAGAAACATTAAAATTAATTTCAATTTTAGCCCCAATTATCAAAAACAGTGAGGAGTCGTTAATTGATAAACCACAATCACCAAAATGGCAAAAAGTGGAGATCGACACAGTTGAAACTCGTCGAAGAGTCCTAAGACACCTTCAGAAATTAGTTTCGCAACTATGATTGACATAGGTAGGTAAACATAATAACTCTGTTCCAACACGTCAAAAAATCGTCCCATGAACGGTTTCGAAACCACTCAGTATAACAATTTTAGTTTCTGCGCAGAATCGTGACGGTACATTGTACGGTTTTCTGCTGTGTTGGAACAAAGCTAATATTATTCATTTCGTTTTTTTAAATGTTTATTCCTTTATCAGGAGACACAATAATTAAAATATTCCTGGTTACATACAGGTACACCATATTCTACAATGCGTGTATCCAAACTTTTTTGGTAGAATCATTGAAATTTCTGTTTTAGATCAACCAGGCCCTTCATGTCGTCAATTTTTATCTACTGAAACTTCTGCAATTCGGGCAGACATTGCTACACCAAGTGGAACCATCACATCTGCAAACATGAAAAAGTCAGCAACCAACTTTGTCTCTTAAAACTTTTATTGGTAGGTACCTAAGAGTTATTGCTTAATGAATAACCACCCAGTTGGGAGTAGGTGAACTTTAAAACATCCTAACTAGGACTACTACTATAAAAGACTACTAATTACTAAAACTTGCAGTCGAATGCTAGAAAAATTAGAAGCTAAATGTGCGAAAAGCTCGTCTCCAATCTTGATCTATTTTTTTTTTGCAGGTTATGAGAGACGATGCCAAATTTTAAAGAACATTAACGTCACTAGGCAAAAAATTCCTATCCCCAAGGGAAAAATATCTTTATTCCAAAGTTATAGAATCCAGCAATAAGTTAAGAAGAATCAGTAGAAGGTTGTCGTCATTTAAATCCAAAGTTTCTGCTGCTGAATAACTTGCATCATAAACCAAATTTCAAAGGCTCGTAGACCACGTCAATCCATTGATATACAGCTTTATTTTAAGCCAAGTCCGTACTCAAAACCAAAAGCCTAAAGCTAGACGAGTTACATTGAACGAGAAGTTGTTGGCGTTGTCTTTGCTTAAAGCTAGTGGTAAAGGGTATAGACTATTATCAAAAATATTTATTCTATCATCCAGGCGAAATCATTTTCTTGAATGAGCTTTATATTATGTATAACTACATAAACTTTCTACCTAACACACGCGGAAAGTGTATTTTCTGGACTTAAAGGCTTGTCCGAACTCTGCTTTTTGTTGTCATTCGTGCAACTTCCATCACGTGCAGAAACACTTTCCTCACTTGTTAGGTTAACAACGATTTTGGATTGTGAGAAAAGGACCTCTTTTGTCATTTTATTTACGATTTAAGTTTTTCATCAAGCTATTGTTAAATGTACGTCATTACTTCTTATAACTGTCCTTATTATCTTTAACTTAACTAGCATTACCTACCTATGTATGTATTTACATGAAAAAAAAACTGTTTCGCATAAATTGTAATTAATTCCATATTCTTTAATATTTTCTGTTTCAAACTTTAATAAATATCTAAATTTGTTATCTTAATTCTTAGTCAATTTTACCTTGAAGGCGCTTCAACACTACCGATTTTATGAGTTTCTTCTTTTTGGCACAATTATTTTATGCCAAAAAATGGTAGAAACTTTAAAGTGGTGGTGTTGAATCGCTAGAATCAAACAATGGTGCAAACGATCCACCGGAACGAATAAGATACCGAACGAACCCTAATTGCGTTTTGCATTCGCCAATAAATCCAGAATTTCAAAAGCTTACCCCCCCAGTCACTAGAGGCGCTGAAAACTTATAGACAGGTTCTCAACACGGCACTTACCTTTCTAAGGGGGGATGTTTTGTGCAGTTTTTATACAAATGTTTAAATGTTGGCGGGCAAATTTGACCAGCTATATGGACGGAAACGACAGGGATTGTCATATTTGACAAAAAAATCCATTGTAGAGAAAAGACTTATTTATCAACTGTACAAATACAAATACCTTACATATTAATTTTCATGAAAGAATCTTTCATCTCGTAGAAAAAATAGTGTACTCTTGCGGAAAAGTTGCACTTTTCGCACTAGTTTTTTTAATAATTTGAACTTCCTTTGTAGATTGTGATAGTGGGAATTGGGAAAATGTCGGATTTTTTACTGAATTTTTATTCCAACATTGCCGCAACTGAATAATTTAAAATAGAAAAAACAGGAATCTATAATCATTCCATTGAAAACCTTCGACAGAGGTCGCTGACTTGATCATCATGACATTTCTGTATCAAAACTTATTTCCATGGTATGCAACTTGGCAACACTGCAAGCGACTGGTCTGCGCACAGGGTGTGGAAACGGAACACGGCTTCAAAATGAACATTTTTATCAACATGTCAACAATTGTTGACGTTTCAAATTTAATTAATTTTAAGGTTATCTTTTACAAAAATAAAGGAAAAATTAATTTTTAAAATAATTTAAAATGAACAGAAGCGAATTAACACATTTGGACGTTAACAAATTGTTCGAAGAACGCAGCATAGATGAGATTATTGAAATAGAAAAACTTTTAGATGCGGAAATCGAAAGGAAAAGAAACGATTTGAGATCAATGGTTGGGTGAGTATAAATAGTTGTTTTTCTATTATTACTTCTTAAACAATAGAAATAGTACATTAACTATCAAATACAATATATTAGGGACCGTTATAAAGACATTCTGGCAGCCTCCGATGCAATAAAGTCAATGAAAACTATATCTGAAAATATTGTGTTCAACATTGAAGAAATCACTAAAACTTGTGAATTGTTAATTGGGACAAATAATTCAAGCACACTAATAGCAGCTGAAGATACCGAAATTGAAAAGTAAGTAATAATGTCAGCTCCAATCCAAATAATAACACACAATTCTAGACAAAGAAATGAAGAAAGAGTCCTACTAATACAAGTGAGACTTGCAATTTTTTTGAATGAACAGATTTGGGTGGCACTTGATAGTGGTAATAATTTAGATGCTACACAATATTATCTTTTGGCACAACATATTTATATGGGTAAGAATATTGATATTTGCAATGTATGTGCAGCCTACAGATTAGAAATTTTCAGGCCTAAATTTAACAAAAAAAGAATATTTAGGGAAGCTGCCACTATTAGATCATTTAAAATTGAATTTAGTCACACTTAGGACAAAAATATTTCAAAATGTTACAGAAAAATTGGAATCTGTAGAAATAACACCAGAGGTAAGAGGATGAAGAAGTATTATGCAGTTGAGCAAAAAAAACTAAACTTTTATAGGAAACTAGTCAAAATCTAAATGCCCTTATGCTAATAGAAAACCAAACAAACGACCAACTTTTAAGTATATTTATAAGACACCGAAAAACAGCTTTGCAAACAGTGATAAGTACACAATACTCTAGTGTGAGGCTTCAAATAGCTGCTATGGTTAAATGTCTCATAACTACAGTACTTTTGTTACATGATTGTTTTATATGTGAGTAAAAATTACTCTTGCATTACTCTTCATGCAATAAAAATGTTTCATTTATAGATAATGACAGTAAAAATGGTCTTTTATGGGAAGAACTTAATAATATAGTTGGAGAAAATGCCGCCTATACTCTGTCAAAACTTGAATTACCAGTTACTCCTTTAGTTTCATACATTCCTGATATTATCAAACAATTTAGGTAAGTTTTTATGTATGACAATCCATGTCCTATTGAATTTTGTCGGCCAGACATGGATAACATTGTTTTTTTTTTCACAATCTCTACAAAAATATTGCTGGATGTTTCCCATTCCTACAAAACTCATGTGATTAGAATGACTTGGTCTACGACCTCGTCGTTCTAATATTTCACACTCGTTATTGTAATCATGTTCATAAACGCACTTGTAATGTAAATATTCAACATTAGAGCACTCAGTGTTGCCACAAGCTCTTTTAAATTGGGGCAGATTACGGCAAGATAGCGGGGTAGAATAGAATCGGTGCGGGGTAAAAACAAAAATTTTTCTTACGAGCGTGCAAAGTAGTACTTTACCGCAGAGTGTGCGATAAAGTAGACTAAGCTTTGCTAATAATATAGGATATAGGTGAAATTTTGTACCTATCACATGCGTAAAGTATCACTTTCCGCATTTGTTAGGTGAATAACTATAATGTTTTCACATAATTTTCTGCTTAACGGGGCAAGGGACACCCGAGGGGACACCTAAAATTCAAAGGAGACACTGAAAAAATCCTAAAAACCTAAAATAAAGACTATACATTTTTTTGTTAGGGGTAGGTAGGTACTATGCTGGCGATAATGCTGGAGGAATCTGTAAATGATGGTGTATCATAGGGGTGGATAAAAAACTTGTTGCATACAGTTCAAATAAATAAATTGTTTCTCATAATTTTGATTTTGTAAGTATTTTTTATTAGCAATAAGCATTGTTTTTGTGTTATAGCATTGTATTGAGAGCGGGGTAGATTTAGTCGAGGGGAGCAGCAGGGCGAGATTGTTTTCAAAAGGGGTAGATCAACCCCGAACGGGGTAGCTTTGGCAACACTGAGAGCACTCATGTGATTACCACGACTCAGTATATGACCTTGTCTTGGCAATATTCCTCACTAGTTACTGTAATGAAACTACACTACTAGTGATATAATTACCTATTTGCCTCGCTATTTGCTTATTACAATACCAGGTGTCCCACTAAGGTCGGCCAGGTACGATATAATGGAAACCATAGACCTTACGGCTTCGGGATTTTTTTTTTCTTCACTAAATCGGCCAAGAGAAATTGATGGAAATTATTTTCAAGTTTGTAGGATGACTGCTAGGGGGCGCAATTACAATGATATAGCTAAAAATTCAACTTTTCTCAAGAAATCGCTATATTAAGATACTGTTTTAACAACAGAAATCAAAAGTTAATTAATATTTGCGCCAGTTTGGTTATTAGGCTTTTTTTCGTATCTTCAGTAATAATGGTGGGGGAAGCTGGTGAAAATTCTCTTTTAGAAATTGCTGTATCTCCCATACCCCTCATTCAAACTCATTCAATTTGGGTTTATTTGGAAGATAATTTCATTGTTATTAAGAACACTACTTCGTTCGAGGTTGATAGTTCCCACCGCGTCTTCTAGAGGGCGCTGTTTATTCAAGATCATGAAAAATCCAAATGGCATAATATCATTTTTGTATTGCTGTGCTTAAAGCGCAAAAAAATATCTCTATTTTGGCGCAAACCGCAATTCAATATCTGCATTTTTTTTCAAGTTACGTAAGGTCTATGGCAAGGTTGGCAAATATCATGATATTTATATAAATATCCAATTATCCGATATATATCGATATATATCGGATATATATCAAAATTTTGATATTTATTTATATTTTTAATTACTTCAATAAGTTCATCTGTTGTCTGTTATCTATAGATAATATTAAAATTCAAAATATTATGATGGATTTAAAAAACTGTTACAAACACGTGAAGTTGGTATGGTGATAACAATTTTTAGTACTCATATCTCCGAAACATATGTATAGAAATGTAAAGTGTAGTAGGTAAATAAAAATTCGAATTTAAGAATATGAAAACAAGTATGTCATTTCAAAAATGACAACTCAGAGCTCAACAACAAAAAGAAAACTACAACTTAGGGCCGGTATTATAAAACTATTTCGACAAAATAACTAGAAGTTAACTTCTGGAATAACGGTAGGTTTCATAGTAATTTCAAAAGTTAACATTTAGTTATCTGTCAAAATAGTTTCATAATACCCGCCCAAAAATCTTGATATTTCTTCTCAACATAAAATAATATAACTATAAAATAAGAAAAGAAGGCCATACAAATAATATTGATATTTATCATGATATTTATCATGATATTTATCAAGATATATATCAGGATATTTATCGCTGATATATATCCTGCCAACCCTGGTCTATGGTGTCCATAATATCGTACCTGGCCGACCTTAGTGGGACACCCTGTATATAAAACAAAATTTACATAATTTTGTGATGTACTAAGTATGTTTTTTCATTGTGCTTTACAGAATTCAATTTTAATGGGATTTGAAAGAATGTATTTAGCATATAAAATTGTAATCATTTACTTTCGCCAGTGACGAACGTTAACGTTATGTGATTTTCTGTCACTAGTGACGAAAATGACGTTTTTGGCTAGGGTAAAATATGACGAAAGTTGTTTATTTTTTACTCGATTTTTTAATGGTTATAGATAAAAATATATTTCAATTTAATAAAAACAGTGAAATCTCAAATTAATAAAAGGGAAAACCCCATTACAAAAATAATTAGGTACAAAACGAGGGGTAAACCACCTTGAAAATATGTAAGTACGCCAGAATCCCACAAAATCCTACTGGAATCCTACGGGAATTCCACTGAAAATAAACTAAATTTTGAACTAAGTAATGAGTAGAAAGTATATTTTATGAGTAAATTGAGTTCTACTCATTTTTGAACCTGTGCGGGACAAGCGGAGGGAGTTCCGCAGCAATTAACTCATTAATGAGTCATCCTCATATAAAAATAACGAATTTTTGAACTAATAAGTGAAAATTCTGACCTGAAAATTGGTGTTTCTGTAATAATAAGTTAATGCATGCAAAAATGATTAAAATCAGCAAAAATCACTTGTGCAAAATACTTCCAATGATCGATCACAGTGACTTGAAACTAATGAACTATAGCTTAAAACTGGAATGCGCACACATTGCCATATCTGCCAAAAAAATGTAGCCATGAAAGGGAGATGCCACAAGGGGGAATGTTGTTTTTTTCTGTTGCTCGCTGACATATGACGTTTTCGAAAGTTTTGTCATATTTCCCTTCACAGGTTTCATCAATTGGAATACGTGTTGGAAGCAATTTTCGCCATTTAACATAATGAGTGCGACAAAAACAGGTATCCCCTTCGCAGCAGCGGCACTAGGCTTCACGTTCGTCCATATGTGTTCGCATTCCAGTTTTTGGTTATAGTTCATTGCTTGAAACTTTTAGGATTTATGAATTGAAGCTTCCTGTTTGTGAAAAAGTTAATTTGAAGCTTCAAACTAAATTTGGGAGCTTTTTCTTATGTTAATGCATGCAAAAATGATTTAAATGTGCAAAAATCACTTGTGCAAAATACTTCCAATGATCACAGTGACTTGAAACTTCCAGGATTTGTGAATTGAAGTTTCCTCTTTGTTTAAAAGTTAATTTGAAGTTGATTTGAAGCTTCGAGCTAAATTTGGAAGCTTTTTCTTATGTTAATGCATATAAAAATGATTAAAATCTGCAAAAATCACTTGTGCAAAGTAGTTCTAACAATCACAGTAACTTGAAACTTTCAGGATTTATGAATTGAAGTTTAATTCTCTTTGTGGAAACGTTAATTTAAAGTTGATTTGAAGCTTCAAAGTAAATTTAGAAGCTTTTTCTTATATCAATTGTATGCAAAATAATTAAAATCTGCAAAAATCACTTGTGCAAAATACTTCCAATGATCACAGTCACTTGAAACTTTCTGGATTTATGAATTGAAGTGTCATCTTTGTGAAACAGTTAAGTAAAAATTGATTTGAAGCTTCAAACTAAATTTGGAAGCTTTTCCTTACATTAATGCATGCACAAATGATTAAAATCTGCAAAAATCACTTGTGCAAAATACTTCCAAAGATCAGAGTAACTTGATTTATGAATTGAAGTTTCCTCTTTGTGGAAAAGTTAATTTGAAGTTGATTTGAAGCTCCAAATTAAATTTGGAAGCTTTTTTCTTAAGTTAATGCATGCAAAAATAATTAAAATCTTCAAAAATCACTTGTGCAAAATACTTCTAATGATCACAGTAACTTCAAACTTTCAGAAATAATAAATTGAAGTCTTTTTCATATGGAAAAGGGAATTTGAAATTTGTTTGAAGCTCCAAACTAAATTTGGAAGCTTTTTCTTACTTTAATACATGCAAATATCACTTGTGCAAAGTACTTTGAATAATCAAAGTCTCTTGAAACTTTCAGGCTTTATGAATTGAAGTTTCTTTTCCATAGAAAACCCAATTGGAAGTGAATTTGAAGCTTTCAATTTGAAAGGTTTTTCTCGTGTTAATGCATGGAAAAACTTTAAAAGTTTGCAAAAATCACTTGTGTAAAATACTTCTAATGATCACAGTGACTTGAAACTTTCCGGATTAATGAATCAAAGTCTTTTTTATATGAAAAAGTTAATTTGAAGTTCATTTGAAGCTCCAATTCAAGGTTGCATGAAAAAACTGTAAAAATGTGCTGACCTGAAAATTAGTGAGTTTTTGAAATAGCGGGTGAAACTTCTAAATCAAAAATAAATGAGTTATTGAACTAAAGAGTAAATTTTATAAGTTAATTTCTGCGGAACTTGCTCCTTACATAATTTCAGTAGATCATTTAAATATGCTAGAGGGGGGCGGTTAACCCCTTGCATAAAGCTATATAATTCAAAAAGAAAACACAAAGTCTTTCTCCAGCAAATACTTCAATCAGGTTAAAGCGCCCTACATGTTTCGGGAGTAGTGAACCTCGTCATCAGGGGCAAGTTTGCTCATATATTACAAAGTAGTTTAGGTCACTAGAAAAAGAGCTCTTATTGATCTGATTAAACTTGAAGAACTACCAGGAATGAGATCTTAAAGGTGTTTATC